ACAAAACATAAAAGTGGGTGGGAGAGGAGAAGAGTTTGGTGGCCTTTTCCTGAGAGTGCGAAAAGGTCATCAAACCCTCCTCGATCAATTTTTCATGCTGGCTTGCTGCCCCAATACACTGGTTTCAGTGGCACTTACTGTGATCCCCACTCATAAAAGAGCATGTAGTTATTAAGATTATAAGATTAATATTAAAAGAGCATGTAGTTATTAAGCCCCTTCATGGATTTCTGCCTTGTCGTGGCAAAGGGGCTTGAATAATTCAGAGAAGCTATGGGCTATGCCGTGCAGGGACACCCAAGACGAGCAGGTCATAGTGGAGAGTTCTAACTAAACACGATCCACCTGGAGCAGGAATTGACAAGCCACTCCAGTATCTTTGCCAAGAAAACTCCATGGACAGAAACAAAAGGCTAAAAGATATGACGCTATAAGATGGGACCCTCGGGTTGGAAGGCATCCAACATGCTACTGAGGAAGAGTGGAGGACAAGTGCAAGTAGCTCCAGAGCTAATGAAGTGGTTGGGCCAAAGCTGAAAGGACACTCAGCTGTGGATGTGCCTGGAAGTGAAAGAAAAGTCCAATGCTGCAAAGAAAAATACTGAATAGGAACCTGGAATGTAAGACCTATGAACCTTGGTGAGCTGGATGTAGTCCAACAGGCAGTGGCAAGAATAAACACTGACATCCTGGGTGTCAGTGAGCTAAAATGGACAAGAATGGGCAAATTCCGTTCAAATGATTATCATATCTACTATTGCGGACAAGAATCTCATAGAAGAAATGGAGTAGCCCTCATAGTCAACAAAAGAGTGGGAAAAACTGTACTGGAATATATTATCTCAAAAATGATAGAATGATTCAATACGAATCCAAGGCAGACCTTTTAAATTCACAGTCATCTAAATTTATGCACCAATCCCCAATGCTGAAGAGGCGGAAATTGACCAATTCTATGAAGACTTACAACAACTTCTAGAACTGACATCAAAGAAAGATGTTCTTCTCATTCTAGGGGACTGGAATGCTAAAGTAGGGAGTCAAGAGATAAAAGGAACAACAGGTAAGTTTGGCCTTGGAGTTCAAAACGAAGCAGGACAAAGGCT